ATATAAATAGCCTAAGTGAGATGTTTGAATTAAGAAACAAAGAAAGAAAAATTAAAACAATCTAAAAATTATAAAGCCACACAAACCAAAATAAAAAGAAAGAATAAAGGCTTTTAATCAAATTTTTAATACAAATGACATAATTCAATCAAATTTTTAACCACTAAAGAAAAATAATTATGAAGGGAAGAAATATCACAAGAAATAAAAAAAAAAAAATTGTTTTATCATCCAAAGAAGCTACTTTTATGATGTCCATAATAAATATTTATTCAAATCCATAATAAACATGAATTATCATCCATACAAGCTACTTTTATCCAATCATGTGTCTACTATCGCATCAGTTATCCGTTCCCTCAACTCTGTCATTTCGCTTGCACCTTCCCCGTCTACAGTACAGGCGGTGTAAGCCTCCGTCTCTTCTTCTGTGAAACACTAACCTAGACGGTATTCAAAGGCTTCTGCAGGCACATTTTTTTCATCCTCTTCCGTCAAATGGAAGTCGATATCATTACGGGAAAGATGTTTTCTAATGTAATTATGGAGAGTTATTGTAGCAAACACAATCTGGACCTGCTTGGAGAAATTGTAGAGAGGCATATTACGGAGTATCACTCATTTCTTTTTCCACACACCAAAAGTCCTCTCAATGACACCACGTAACGATGAATGTCGTTTATTAAACATTTCTTTTCTGCCTCGTTTAACGTTGTTTGCACGTGTGAAGTCTGGTATGTGATATCTCGTGTCAGGAAATGATTTTAGATACCCTCGTTCCAATGGATAACCAGCATCGACCAAATAGTATTTACCTGATAAATTGAACAATTAATATGAAAATTCAAGTTGGGCATTCAATAAGCTCAATCCTGAGCGTACCTGCAGGTGGATGTGGAAATTTGGTATTGGGATCTCGTGTTCAGATTTAAAAACTCAACTGTCATGTGTGTTGTCCTCCCAACCAGCCTTAACAAAAGTGAAACACATATTAATGTCACAGACGGCCATGACATTTTGGGTGGGGCTACCACAACGGCCGATAAGTGCAACATTATCATTATTTGGGATACGTGCGTCAACATGTGTTCCATCAATCGCGCTGATGCAATCTTGGTTGAGTTAATGTTAGGATCGACATATCATTGCATACTTTAACAAAATTAACTATATTGCATCCAAGAGAATACCTTGAAGAATGACATATATGGCGCATCATTTGATATCTCAACAGGTGTTTTCTCGAACTTATAATATGAGGGTCTAATGATATAAGAGGACAAACTAACAAGTGCGCTCAATCCGATTGAGAAGTACCTGCTTATTGTTTCGAAGGAATTTTGAAATCGCTCCTCGCATGGACTCATTTTGGGATAATATGAACAGTGTTATTATTAGTACCTCATGTGGACTGGTCCTCGAAGATCTATAAAGGTCGTGAGATCCTACGAGTAATTCCAGAAGATCGATAAATACTGTCTTGCTCATTTGAAACATATTATAAAATCTTGTTGAGTGTCCCGCATGCAACTCTTCAACCTATTTATTGCCAATATATGAAAATGTCATGCATGGAGAACGATCAATGTACATATTGTAGTACTCGTACATCAAGCATATTACCGTCAGAAACATCCCTCTCAGTTTTCTTCTGCGGAGTTCATGTGGGCCTCTATCTGTCTTCTTCTATTTACATCCATGGTGATCGGTGTCCTTAAATGTAACTATGGCGATAAGTGCGTGAGAGTTTGAGATAAAAAAAAAGACGTTTGCATATATTAGATGGGCACAACAAAGTTCACAAGTACAACTCTAGAAAAAAATAATAATGCAATAGGAATGTTTTAGTGATGAAAAATATAAAACATCTCAAATGTTCAAGCGATCATAAAAATAATGCAGTAGAAATGTTCCACTGATGAAAAATATAAAACATCTCAAATGTTCAAGCGATCATAAAAACGCAGATCATATGTCACTCTACGGGCGGCAGACATCTTCACAGAGATATCTCTAGGGACCGGGTCCTCTATCAATTCTACTGCGAACAAATACAAATCTTCATCTTTATAGATTTCAGCGGTAGTGCTTAGGATTTCAAGTGCCTCCTCGATAGTGTTTAAATGAGAAGCCTGACATTCTGCCTTGAAACAAGAAACCGCCTCGGATAGCTCGTTTCTGAGGGAAGAAGCGCCAGATTTTCTTTTATCAACAACCTTTGGACGTTTGGAACAGGAAATAGTTTCATGTTCGTTCCAATCAGTGCTAGCGATGTCAATGAAATCAACAAGTCAATGAAATCAACAAACCTCCAAGGGTTCCCAAATTCATGGCATTGCCAGCAAACGCTGTCTCACTTGGGCTATATGCATAGTTTCCCGTTGCAACCACCCCCCAAACACGCGGTCGAGTTTCTCCTCAAATTCAGGCTCAATTCCATAAAACTAAAACTTCTTTACAGCGGGCACGAACTACATGGAAATTTATAAACACTCAATTAAGAATAAACTATAAAATTACAAATAACAAATTCTACAAACAATGTTCACCGCAAGTCTTTCAACCAGTTTTATAAGTTTTATTTTTATGTTTTCATGATATCCTCTAATCGCATACTACTCATAAAGCATGTATTTATTTTCAGCATCAAAACTTAGCTCTAAAAACTATCCCTTCATCTATATTCACCTTTTTGTATCATAGATTCAAATTACTTAAACTTATCATACACGCATATCA